TTATGGGCCCCCTGGCGGGTGGTGCCAGCTGCTGGAGCTGCTGGGGCATCACTGTCAGCCACGGCAGCAATTGGGGTCTTCAGCCTCCAGCTGTGGGGCGGGAATGGTGAGTCTCCCAAAACCAGCAGCTGGGGGGACCAGGGCTCTGCATCAGCGAGGGGCTGGGTCTATGCTGGCAGCAGGAGCAGGACCACAGGTCACATCCCAGGGGGCCTGGTGCAGGCTTTTGGGGGGTGAGTGTCTGTATCTGCTCCAAGCTAGGTGTAAACGTGTGTTCACCAGCAAACTTCCAGCTGGACCAGTCAGACTGGTGTGGTGCTCAGGTCCAGGTATCTTGCAGGTGTGGGGTCCATGCTGGTACACCCAGGGGGACTTGGGAATGTGGAGTGCAGGGGGGACAAGCACAAGCACTGAGCTGGACCAGCTGGCAAGTAGGGCAGCCGTGGGACGGACGGCTAGAGAGGCCGTGCCGATACCTGGGGGATCTACGAATGTGCGTGCGCTTTGGGAACCCGGTGTGTCGTGTCTCGTGTGTGTGTGTGTGTGTGTTCCTGCACTGTGACCTCCTGCCTCGGCCAGCCCAGGAAGAGCACACCCTGTATGTGGTTGCTGCGGAAGGCACCAACTTGTCCATGGCAGTCTGCGTGATGGCCCCATCGGGGTCTTCACTGTGTGTGTGTCTTGGGTACATGCTCAGCTTCACTACCGGTGCTGCGTCCCTCAGCCAGGGCAGGATATATATTATATGAACCCTTTCCTGCCTCTGTGTGTTTGCAGACTGAGCATAAAATGGGATTCACTTTTGGATACAGTGAAAATAAGGGGCACCAGGGAGTACTGAGATGCCTACATGGTGTTTATTTGTGGTGTGAAGCACTTCTGCCCTACAACGTTCCTTCAAGGTTTTTGTCTAAAGCCTAATACTGGATTAGCAGAGTCGGGTGTCCTGAGGAATGTAACAGTAGCTGCTTGGCCGCAGCTATTCAAGCCAGCCAAAAATAGTCAATAGGTAGAATTTTTCTTCCTCTCTTTTCCCTTCAGCTCTTTTGAGGGCAGGTACTCTAAATGACAAGACTTAATTCATGTCTGTAGTTAATGGTTAGAACATTTTGGGCAAAGATTATCCTTTGTTTCTTTTGTCTCAGAACTGTATGCAGTCATTTGGAAAAGGTGTCCTAGATTCTGAGAAATCAAACTTTCGAAAAGGAATTCTGATGTACTAAATTGCTTCTACACCTTATTTCCTATTCTGTCATTACTTAATCTCTTTTTATTTCAGCTTTAATAAATATTCCAAATGTGACTGAGATAAAGGAAGACATGAACCTTGGCTTGACTCTGATACAGAACTCAGAAACAGGAGGATTTTTGGTACGTACCAAGGATGTAATCAGTACACAAAAATTCCTTAGGAGAATGAAGAAACTAGTATTTCTCACATTTTTTGATAAATCCAAGCTGAATAAATTTTGCTGTGCAGCATAGATTAATGCATATTTTGCATATTTAAAAATATTCCATCCCACTGTCATTATCTAGCATCCAAAATCAGGAAAATTACAAATTCTCTCCTTCATTATTTATCTAAATACCCTATGGAAGGGCACATAAATTAATGATTCTGTAATTTAAGTCAGACATAGGCAAAAATATTTCTACCATGGACATCTTTAAGGCAGCCTTGTATAGTTCTGGTTGTGCTTTCAAAAGACAGTATGGGATCTCTCCTTCACCCATGCACAGTGACTGTTCTCCTGAGATGTCAGGATTTCTAGTTATGGATCTGCGATATGTTTTATTTGGTTAGTGAGCTGCAGGATGATGAATTTTCTATGTCCATATTAGGCAAATTACTCTCCTCAGAGCCTGTAAAACAAGTTTCATAGTTGAAAAGAAGTTAATACCTATTTAATATGCTTTTTTACAATCTTAACCCTAAGCATGAAGGCTGTTGCAGGGTAGGTGTATTCTAGTTTGATACATACCTTGTAGAAATGCGCAGTAATTATATGGGACAATCAACTATAGTCAAAAGAACTTCGAGGCGCACTTTAAGCTTTGTAGTTTTCTGTTGCATCTTTGTAGTAATTGCAGAAGTATTCAGAGGTTTGTTATCCTCATTACCACATTGCCCAGCTCACTGAAATACTTAAAAGTCTAATTCCAACCTTCCCAGCATCATTCTTGCAGGTAATAAAGTTAATCATAGTTTCAAAATACAGCTACAGTGCTTTTCTTGATTGTTGGCCTGAGAAGATACTAATTCAAAAAGTCACAGAATCATAGAACAGTTGGGGTTGGAAGGGCCCTTAAAGCCCATCTAGTTCCACCCCCCCTGCCATGGGCAGGGACACCTTCCACTAGACCAGGTTGCTCAAAGCCTCATCCAGCCTGGCCTTGAACACTTCCAGGGATGGGGCATCCACAGCTTCTCCGTGCAACCTGTTCCAGTGCTTCACAACCCTCTCTGCTTTCAGTTTAAACTCGTTCCCCCTTGTCCTGTCACTACAGGCCCTTGTTAAAAGTCTACCCCTGCCTTCAGGTACTGGAGGTGCTATAAAGTCTCCCCAGAGCCTTCTCTTCTCCAGGCTGAACACACCCAGTTCTCTCAGCCTTTCAAGTCTCATTCTATCTCTTGAATAATACCTTTAATTAATATTGTCCCAAGCATACCTACTTTTAATCAGTACCAGTAATTGCAGGGATTTAAAGCATGTCATGCAGAAAGAATTTTATTTTCTAGTAATACTTGAGCTTCTCTCAGTTAAAGAGAATTTCCTGATCCATACGTTACTGATTGGCTCTCATTTAATTGCATAAATTAACCATTAAAAAAGCTGAATGCTAAATATGAACTACGCCTTTAGCGACAGGAGTTCTTTTTGAACCAGGAAGAACATGATACTGGGAGCGGATGTTTATCTGTGACTCAGCCTCAGCAAATATCAAAAGCCCCATGATATAGTTGTGGCAAGCATTGGACAGTAAGTGGAGACTATCTGCTTGTACTTGCAACCTGCTGCCAGCTAGGACTTCGCTCTGAGACACTCTCCCTGTTAGCTGGCCTCTGTGATGGGCTCTCTGGGTAATGTTCTGGGCTTCCTCCTTCCAGATCACTGTGCTCCTTCTTCCTGCGGCTGCTTGTCTCTCAGCATCCATCCCCCTGCACCCGTCTGGGCAGCATCCCTGGGCTGCGTGGCTGCAGCGTGACCCAGCCTGGCACCAGTGCCTTAGCTTGGGCATCCTGCTGGCTCAACTGTTTGGTGCCATGTTGTTGCTTCCCACATGGATCCTGAGTATAGGGCGGTCATTTCCACATGCTCATTACATTTTTCTGAGGCACGCTGACTCTGGTTGGGAAGGTGCTTAAGAATTTCACTGAGGGTTAACAACTTTTTTTCTGGATTTCTGATCTGAGTTCCTCTCAATTTGTTCTTGGGGTAGCTCCCATCTACCTTCTGTATTTAATACCCCATAATCGTTATCCATTGTCCTTTGCTTTGGTAAACAAATATGTTTTTTAAACTCTACCTCTCTTGAACATGAATGACTAGATCTATGCTGTGTTCCACATGAGATTTTCCAGGGCACTATATAGTGTATTTGATATTTCCTTGTCTCAACTGCAGGTGCTTCTTCTCACATATCTTTAGGCCATATTTGACCAGCTTGGCAAGCTGGCTGCGTGCATATGATCACCCTGCAATCAACCAGTGCCTGATCCATCTGCTCCTCTCTCTTCCACTCAGTGAGCTCCCAGCTTATGCCCGCATTTCTTAACATTAGTCATTAAGGTCAAGTCTGTGCCCCTTTCTAATATTCCACTTCTCAAGTTCATCAGTTCTTGATATGTGATCTGCCAGTTTTCCTCTGCAATAATAAAATATGTTAAATTTCTGACTGTAACAGTGCTAGAACATCAGAGCTTTTCCCATCAGCAAAGTTTGTTAGAAGTTTTCTGGTTTTTTGGTCCAAGATTAACATCACAGTTTTGGGTTACCACTAATACAAAAGAAAACTAAAAACTGGGCAAATGAGATTGATCTAGAAATAACTTTAAATTAAAAATAACTTTAAAGACTAGTAAGTCTCCTCCAGCTTCACAGTTAGTGACACAGATGATTTATTTTGTACTTCTCACCTCTGTAAATATTAATCTGTTCTATTAAAACTAATCATGCCCCATGTAGCAGCTAAAAAGAGCAGTTACCTCAAGATCAGATGAAGTAGATATACTTCATTTCTCTTGTCCAGAAAATGTGTCATCTTGTCAAATATGTCATTGGGATAGTTTGGTGTGGTCTACCACTGCTAAACCAGAGCTAAGAACATCTAGCTCTTTTTCCATTTACTTCTGCCTTTAATTACCTTTTTTCAGTATTCTT